GACCCCCCACTTTCTCTTGCCCCTCCACCTGCTTCTTCACTCTTTCACTTTCTAGAGCTCTTTTATTCAGTCCTCTTTTCAGTGACTTGTTACCAAAGTTTAGGTTTGTTCTTTGGGGACATTTTTTGTTTTATTTTGTTTTATTAAAGGAGGTTTGAGAGTTTGTTTGTTCCAATAAGCAGGAGCTGTAATTGGGAAATGGGTTAAGCTTGCTTCCAATTAAGATAATTGACATGAAATACCCAATTGCATCCTGAGAGAGAGAGGGAGAGAGAAAAATAAGTTCCCCAGCTGAGCTGCAGAAGAGAGCAGCTTTGTCTAACAATGTAGGTAGAAGCAGATGTTTAGAAAAACATGTAAAAGCAATCAGGAGGGGATTTATTCATTTGTTTATTAATTAAGATGCATGCATGAGCAGACAGCAAAGTTCTGAGTTAAGAAAGTTCCAGCAGGGGTTATAAGGAAAGGGGGGCTTTGATTGGTTTTATATATATATATATATGTATATATATATATATATATATACATACATACATATATATACACATATTCAGGAGGAACCACCCCAAAGTTTTTTTTAAGATTTAGGTCAGCACATCCCCTTGATCCTTGTAAGTTTTTTCTCTTTTGTTTAAATACAGTAAGATACATGATAAGATCCTATCATGCCATGAGTATCTATCTATCTCCACAGCTAGTAAAAATACACATGGCTTTGTGCACTGTGTGGTTTGCCAAGTTTAAAAGTGCATGATGAGTACTACAGTGATTCTGAATAGCGATGGAGCACTCCTGACAATGCTCATGTTTGCTTTTAAATTTGTGGGGAATAAGGAAATCAGCTTTTCTGGTTGGAGGGACAGAGATTCTTGGGGATCTGATGTGGGGACAAACAGCCACTGTGAACCTGCTAGTTAGAGTGGTCAGTTCTGAGAATAGAAAATATAGAGGGTGCTTAATTGTTAGATAGCTGTCTGTGCTAAAAATGGGGAAATACGTACTAGTGCTGATAAGAAAAAGGAAAGGCTTCAAAGGCTTTAGCTGAGAATATGTACTTTTTAAATTTTAAAACGTTTGTACTTTATCCAAGGAATTTGGACTTCATGTACAACATCAAAGGTAACACTATCAGAGATTAAAACTGGAAGGGCCAACACAGAATTCACTTGTCTGCTCATGTAAGTGATCATTCCTGCAATTTTTCTGCAAGTATTAAAGCATCAATTAAATGTATTGTTCTTCAGTTTCCTTGCACGAGCTGTCCTTGAAATTCAACAAGGACTGATTAAGTGTTTTTAAAGAAAGAGACTATAGACTTGAGTGGCTAGCTTGCCTCTGTGGTGACTTTAGGAGCATCAAGGAGAGACGAATATGGGGGTCGATCGTGTTTTGTGTATTGTTTGTTGGGGGAGAGTTAAATAGATAAATCTGGGAAACTAATGTCTGAAAATCAAACATGTTTTCTGGATGAAATGCTAGCCTTTAGGTAACTTTTCTTTGTGATTGAGGTGCTTTTTGATAGTCAAATAAGATAAGAAATACAGCAGATTCCTCTTTCATGTAAATAGAAGTGGTAAGGTCCTTCTGTTCTGCTTCTGGCACTCAGGGCCTCAATAGACATGGAGGGTTGCAGAGCCTGGACCATGATTCAGCAGGTGGATAACCAGGATTCCTGCTGCTGCACCTGTCTTCATTTAGAAGATGAAAAGCCTAAGCTGATGTTTTGTGAAATTTTGTACGGCTGCTCTAATGCAAAAAGTAACAGATCCAGGAGATGGGGTAACTGCAGGCTCTCTATGCTTGCAATTTTAAGGGTGTGTGGGGGAAGTACATGCATCCTCCATAGTGTATAGTGCAGTGTTTAGTTTATGTGATTTGGTGTTCAGATAATGAGATTTTTTTTTTGGGAGGCATCGCTTATCACAGAATAGTGATCCTATTGCTCTCAAAACATGTTGCAAGCCAGACACTTACAAATGACATTTGAAAGACTGAATTTACCCCTGTGTCTTAAAATATTGTGGAATCTTTTCAAAGGCTTATTTCTGTGATAGTGTTGTAAATATAAAACATGGAATTAGAAAAAAAAAAAACGAGTTAGAAAAAAACAATTTATTAAGTAATATCATATAAATAACTTGTTACAAAAATCAATTTGCAAAAAGGCAAATTCATTCTGTCTGTGAGAAATTTTTGTTCAAATTGGTTTCTCATTAAATCCTTAAATTTCATTTTTCCTTGTCCCCCAACCCCCAAAAAGAAGCCAGTACAGCGAACAGGAAACATAAGGGAGAGAGTGCACACTTGCCATCTGACCATAATGAATTGCCCATCCACGCTGCAGGAGAGATAATTGTTCCAGCATGGATCCCTTTGCAGCACAGGGAAGCTTCTAGGTGTAAATCTCTCGGGTGACAAAAATCTTATAGCATGCAAATGTCCCTCTAGGCTGAGCAGTGATCAGATCCATCTGATGCTGAGGCTCCCTTGGCACAACCAAGGATGGCATCACCAGGGACTGTGTGCCTGGAGCATGCCAGCAAGTAAATCTTCTCAGGTGGAGGCATCAGTTTCAATTTATGCTTGGAAGTATTTTAATTAAAAAAGATCAATACCGAAAAGCATTTATTTTAAGGGTTTAAAAATCACAAATCGCAATAGGAGTTTGCCAGATTGATTTCGCTCAGCAACACAGTTAAGATGCACACAGCATTTATTATAAGGCCTTTCTTTTAAGTTTAATTTTTCAAAGCAGTGAATGTAATCACAGAATTAAAACAGTACAGTGATTCTGAAGGAATTTTTATGTGTCAAAATCCACAACAATTTTGTGTTTGCAGTGTTGTTTCTTTGTTGTGTTCACCTGAATACTTAATAATTCTATACATTTGTTTCTTTAATAAACACTAAGGTAATAGACCATAGAAAACTAAAAGCTTATAGAAAGTGTCTCCAGATATATTTACATAAATAGTGCAGTCTCATAGGAAAGGTCAAAAGCTCATGGGAGTGGAAAGGATTTCTCTATATGCTGGACGTATGCTTCAATTTGTCAAATTGACTTCATGGAAGGAGAAATTTGAAGTTAGCAGCTCCTAATTTTTTTGTTCCTTTTTTTTTTCCTAAAACCAAAAAACATGCATGGGGAAAAAAAAAAAAAGAGCAGGCTCTGTAAATACTCCTTTGAAATCCAGTAACTCTATGTATAATACGACATCTTTGTGGCTTTTCAGTGCCATGGACCTGCTTTGTGAGTGTCTGACTACCTCCCTCCCATCCCCCCGTTCAATTAATTTTCTGTTGTTCCTGAAATTCTCAATTCTCTGACTTGCACTCCCTGTAACCCCAGACATGGCTTTTGGATACCTACTGCTGAATTTTATGAACTGTTCAGGAAAGTGTTTAGTGTATGACAAATGCAGGTCTGGGATCAGAAGTGTAGTATTGTGTGTGAAATGATGGACACCATCAAGATTGTTTCAGCTGTGCCTAAACAGAACTACTGAGGGGAGATGTAAAGCTACATCAAAATATTGTGTGGCTGCTATGGGCTTTTTTCCTCCTTCTGGACATTAAATATGCCTTTGTTCCTGTTTAAGTACAGAGAAAATCTCTAAGAAAACAAGTCTTTCTGAAGACTGAACTGAAAATTTTGTAGTTTTGACATTTATTGAAGGAGGCTGCTGTTTCACAGGTCTGGGGAGTTTGGAAAAAAGCCCTGCCTTTCACAACAACATAGTTCATACTTATTGGAAGTAGTGTAATGACTGTTAATTTGCCACCTCTCATTTGATAAGGGAGCTCAGACTGCACTGCTAATTGAAACACAAATGGGCAGGAGCTGGCAGCATCCAGCTGAGACAGTGGTCTTCTGAACACTTCAGTACTACTTATAGCCAAAGGAAGCATGGAGAGATTTAAAACAGATGGTGGCAGGAAGAGCTAATACAGTAGTGTTTGCAAAGTTACCTGCTCACTATCTGTAATTCACCCTGCAGAAGGCCCTCAAGATAGATCAGCTGTGGAAATCTAACATTTTTTAATAATAATCAAGACAAAGGAACTTTCCCAGAGATCTGCATGTAAATGGCCTAGATTCAATTTTCTTGGTCTGAAAAAAAGATGATGTCTTTCTTCCTATCCATGTAAGCCTCCCTCTGGCTGCTGCAGGAAATCTGGAAGAGTTAGAAATGACTGTGCACCATTGGTCCTGCTCAAAATGGATGTCTGGTTTTGAAACATGGCCAGCTTCCAATGTTCATCATTTCCCTTCTTTTTATTCATATTGTACATGTGCAGACAAACATTTCCAAAGCCATTTCTCCCTGCTCTACTTCTTTATGACTGTTCTGCTTTTTATGGTACTACAGATATTCAGTTAGTTGGGTTTTGTGGGACTTTTCTGTTTGTTTTCTGACAGAGAAATGGAAATGTTGTGCCTTGTAATGTAGCCTGGTACTTCCAAAAGTGCATTATTTGAAGGTTGCCTCTCCCATTCCTGTTTAACAGCTAGGAAGCACCTGTCCATAAAGTGAAATAAGACCTGACAACCAAAAAAAAAGAAAAAAAAGTAAAAAAGTCAGAAAAATATATCTGTTTCTTAGGACAAATTTAGAAAATATATGTCTTGGTATAGGTGGAGTGTTGTTCTACTCAGAATATTTCCCAGCATTTTTTTCACTAGCAATAACTTCAAAACCACAAACAACTTGTTTTTCTCATGGTTAGACAGATCTTCATCTATGTCAGGTTTGGGAATACATCCCAGTCCTGTTGTACTATTGCTAGAACCATGTGGGAACCCCAAATTCCCTTGTCCAGAGCTCGCTGGAAGTTTCTGTCTCAGCTCTTTTTCAAGCACTTCTCTACATAGAGATTTCCTGGCACAACAACATTGGAGGCATGTGCTGCTGTGTCTCTCCATACTAGTGCTGCTATGGGATAGAATTAGTTTCAACCTGAAATATTCTTCTGGAGTAAAAAAAAAAAATAAAAAATCATTTTTATAGAATAAAGTGGCTGTTTTGGGAACTGAGATGAAATAGCTATATTAGAAACCTTTTTCCATTTCAAGTGTAGAGAGGTTATTGTTCTGCCATAGCAGAAAAGTCCCCCATGTAAACATGCACCTGTTTTGTGTTAACTCCACTGAGTTCCTTGGTATCTTTTCATAGGTCCCCTGTTAGATCAGATGTTTTTCCAAATTGAAAGACAGCTGCAATGCTCATCTCTCTACCTGGCTTAGCAAAGCTTCTTAATAATATCTCTTCTTCTTAAATAGGTACAGTTGTAAGAAAATCAGGCTTAAAACAGCCTTGAAAAACACTTCATAGCCCATAGTCTAACACTTGTTTATCTATAAATGACAACTCTAACACTGTATTAAAGCATTCTTAAATATTCATTTCTATCATCTAGTACTCTGGCATGCTACAAAGTGCAAAGAAATACTACTGCAAAGCTTTGTATTCACTGCAATATGGCACTTTCACTATTTAATATGCAGTACTGCATAATTGCACTTTGTGGTACTGCCAAGCAAGAAGAAAAGACAGAATTGAACTCTTCTTGCTGTGCGAGAGATGCTAAATCTGTCTAATTTTCAGGAAAAAATAGACCTTAAAACCTAGGTGCATAAATAATAATTTGGATGCAAGTTTGCCTTGAATTTTCTTAGAAGAAAATTTGCTATTCAGGCACCATATTTGTGGTGACATAACAATTTTCTATGTAATATATTTACAAAACAGGCATGATTAGCCACTCTGTTACTTACTGCACCATGCAATGGACAAGAGCAAAACAGCTCTAGCTTTCAATTAAAAATAAAAAGGAAAAAAAACAAATGAAACTTGCGCTTGGACTGCTACTAACAACCACTAAATCAGACAAAACCACTGTACGAACATAGGAAACTAGTTACAAGGAGGTGAGTGATCCTCCTGTTGTTTATTCCACCCCAAAGAATGACTAATGAAAGTTGACCTGCAGGGTGGCCCAGCCCTTTCAGGGTGTAAGGTCTGTCTTCAATCAGATGACAGTGACAAGTCAAGCACCCTTCTTCCCTGTGAGCTGGGGGTGGCTTGCAGGGCCAAATATGCATGCAGTTTCACAGCCACCTCTGTCATTCCCTCCATTAACAACTCTGTTTCCTTAGGGCCTGAGGAGAGGAAGAAGCACTGGCTCACTTCAGGTGTCCAGCTGGACTCTGAGCTTGAGGCAACGCCAGGCAGTGAAGGGTGAGACAAAGGTGTGTTAGGAAGCCACTGGGAAGAGCTCCCTAGGGGTACACTGTCTCCACTGAGTGAATGAGGAAAACAGCCCCAAGTGAGGGACATATGGCAGATGATGCTGAGCATCTGTTGCTCCTCCACTTATCTGAAATCCAGATATGTGCCAGAGCCAGGTTTTGGACAGGCTGCCTTCTGGAAGTTCTGATTTCAAGGAATCCATGAAGGGCTAGACTTTCAAAGGCTTTTATCATCTTAAATTACTGAAAGGCCCACAGAAGGACATAATAAAGACCTCATTGTACCACTGCCATTGTGACAGGTGCAGCAGGCTCAGCCTCCCTAAGCAATAGAGTTGGGCACTTTGTTCTGCCGGACTGAAGCACTGCAAGAGGCCTACATCAGGGAGATCAGGGGCTGCTCAGGATCCTTGGAAACACTGGACTCCTCCACACTGAACATCCACCTGCCTGTCATGCTGGGCATCAGCAAGCCATTAGCTGCTTTGCCCTAAACCTACAAATGTGCAGTGCTTTCCACTGCAGAATTGTTCTTCTCAGTCCCAGCAAGGCACTGCCACATGGCTGGCTCGTCCTTTTCACTGGGACTGTTTCACAAAACCTGAAATTATGTCGTCATGTTTGTAGAAGTCTAATACTTGTGAATTTTACTGCTCTTTCTATTTAAATGTCTAGGAGTAATGAATTCCAGGGATTAATTTTTAATCCCTTTTAATTTTCTCTTTATTAACTTTTTCCCCTTCTCTATATTTAGAGTAAATTGGAGCTGTTGTTTAATTTTTAAACTGATTCACTTAAGATTCAGGAGGGGAGGAAAATAGATCCCTGCCTGTGATACTGGTATTAAATACTGTTTCAAAAGTAAATAAATGAGATTAGTTATGTATGAGGTATATTAAAAAAAAATAAAAACATCTTCCTTGTTTCCTTGGCACAGTGTCATGGGCTGTGTCCCTGCTTTGGGACTCAGGGTGGCTTTTAGCTCCTGGAATTGGATGTCCCATGGCAGTCCCTTAGGGTTTCCTCCAAATAACCTCTTCTAGATGGCTGGATTTGAAAAGCAGCAACTGCATGCGTTTGACAGACCAGCAGAGATACTAAATGGTGCACAAGCTGTAAAAAAAACCTGTTTTGGCCTGAGACTACAGCATCTTCCCTCACCCCATCCCTGGACCAAAATTACTTAGCTTGGCAAAGTGGATAAACAAATTTACACAGTGAGACTTGTGATTAAAGTTTTACCTTTTGGTGAAGTCTTTAACAACCCTGGCTAAATAGGTTATTAGAAAAAAAAAAACAAACAACCTATAGTTATAGACCCTACTTTTCAGGCTGTTGGAATGACAACTGATTCTTACTTACTTGTGCATACAGGGCTTGACTCTGGAAATGAAACAACCGCCCAAAAGCATGAGACATTACTTCCTCTGGCAGAATACCATCATTTTCCATCTCTAAAACATTTTCCGAATGACTTATATAATCCTTGCAACATCCTGATGAGGTAGGCACTATTTCCCCTCTTTACAGATAGCAAAACTAGGCAAAGAGTCAGTCAGGGATCCACCCTGGGCATCCAGGCAGGGGAAGATCAGGACAAAATAAACACCCTTTCCTCCTTTGCAGCTGCTCCTTTTGTCCCAGTGGATGCCAATCCCCTTGAGACTACCACTCCTCTCCTCCATGTGAGAACAGGCTGAATATAGAAAGCCTGACTCACACCTCCCCAGTGCAGTGGCCATCACCGAACTGATGTGCAGGTGAAGACTGACTAAAGAAGTACAAAGAAAAACAAAGTTATGATCTGCTCCTTCCTCCAAGTCATGATCTAATCTGGGGTTGAATTAGATGATTTTCCCCATATCACAAGGCAAGTCTGGGTTAGAACTGGGAAATAATCTAAGAATTAGATATTGGGGCTACTGATCACGCACACACATCTCTCCAGCAATGCTAGGTCAGAAGAATATATACATAGCAGTCAATGAACTATATATATGTGTGTGATAGTATGATTCAGTGCACTGGGGGCAATGACAAGTCCTAGAAAAACACTTAGGTTTAAATGACCATTAGGCCTTTCTACCCTTCTAATGAGAAAAATGCATGTTTGATGTTTTTTGTCTCAGCTTACTCTACTTGTATAAAAAACCTTCATTCCATCACCACTACTTTTGGCTATAATACATAGGGTAAACTAGGGTACCTCATTACATTGGGATGTGCAATACACAATCAACAGAGCAGTCATCTGAGCTGAATAGTCTGAATACAAGTAAAAAGAGCAAGTGAGCTTAAATAGTAGTATATTCCAATTTACAATATAAGCAGAATGAGTAAAAACATTGCTCCCATCGGATCCTTTTTTCCCCCTCCAATACTGCCATGCCTCTAAGATTGGCTTGGTAAACTGGATGCAGTGAAAAATAAGAATTCTGCCTCTTGGAAGCTCATAAAATGATACTAGAAAAAGTTTTCTGATGGCTGATCCACACAGACTGCAATCATTAGACAATTTGAGTGGGTAGAACAGAGAACCCTTTCACACGGCTCTGGAGAAATAGGAAAAAATAGCCACCTCACATTTCTCAATGCTGTTTCTGAAAATGAGGAATGGAAACAAAAAGGAAGAGAAAAAAGGCAACATATTAAAAGTCTTTGTCACTGTCCATTGCGCCATACATATCTGCCAGCTTTTTAAACCGAGGTCCCCAGTCACTGAGGTAATCATAGTCCTGATCTCCATCCGTAGTCACCGACTCCAAGGAGCTGAGGGACTCAGCCACAGAACCATTACCTTCGTACGCGTAGGTTGCTAACGAGTCGTACGGGGGTGCCGTTGGATCTATATCATTTTCCTTTAACCTTTGGTTAATGAAATCTCTGACATCCGTGTTATCTCGCACTGTGGCAGTCCGCTGTGGCATAAAAAGTGTTTCCGGCACAATGTCTCTGCGGAATTTATTATCGTCTATGGCTTCGGGATTTCTCAGCGTGCCGATATCAAATGCCTGGGTATCTTCCTCTCCACCACCTTCATCATTATAACTGACAATGTTGTCTCTGATGTCTTCTTTCGAAATAATCAAAGGCTCTTTTTTCCGCTGCCTTCTCAGTGCTGCAAAAAGCACCACTGTAACTGGAAACAAAAGTAACAGGAAGAGAAGGGAAAGGTTAATCCCTAAATCCATTAAAATCCAGAAGAAATGCTGTGCTTCTGCTTGAATATGAAGTTTTAAAAGATGTTTTGCAAAACTGCAAATGTGCACGTCAGGTTTTCAGGCTTTGTATGCTCTGGGAGTACCTTGGGAGATGAAATGGCATAGATGTGCACTAGAAGAAAGGAGACATCAAGCTTGTAAGAAGCCAAGTGGAGTGTGTTTTTGTCAGTAAGCCCATTTTTACCCAGAGTCATACAGTAGTTCTGTTGCCTTGAGAACAGAACTAGTTTCATGAGAGCTGGGAAGGAAGAAACACTTTCTTCAAAATAAGTAGCATCAGATGTTATTTACCTTGAACCCCTGGGAGAAGATGCAACTTGTTTTATGGACAAAGCCAGTACCTACTGGGCTATGGTAAAAGGTTAGCAAAGCTGCATTTCAAGATAAGTAAATCTATCCTCCTCTAGAAAAAGATTTGAATATGGAGTGGGTTTTCAGACATCACAAGGTCCAAGTTTTATTAACTTCACTGGCATGTTTTTACAACGTACATCACCTTAAAAAGTATAATGGCTTAAATCTTAGACTGATGAGATATGGTAATGGTATATTTTAATCTGACAAAAGCACGAGATTTCTCAAACACATATTTTATGCCTTTCATTCTAAAATGTATGTGTGTATACATGTATTTTTAATTTATTTGAAGGGCAGGAACAGTCTCCAAGGCCAAGATCCAAATTTAAATATTTTTACTCAATAATAATCCTGGTAGTGATGGAGAAGTAGACGCAGAGGGAAGAAGGGGATATGTTCAACAGTTCATGTCCTTCAGAAGCTCATTTCAGATTTCTTAGCTGGATTCTACTTTAGGATACTGAAACGCTGAATATTTACAAACGAGCAGCAGAAAGGAGCATGGATGTATTGCTACTGTCACTGTTGCTTTGGTAGTCTGAGGTCCACAGTGCCTGGTATTTCAGCTCTGCTGTGTAAACTCCAAGAAAAGGCACATCTTGCGGTCTTTATAATTCTTTCATAGCAAAGCAAAGCAAATCAGAAAATAACTAAGCTCATTGATATGAGATTATAAGGTGGATCAAAATTATCTTTCATATAATGTGTTTCTAAAATGGTGTGTGAGTCAAAGCACAGTAGCCATTAAAGACTTTTTCTTTTTTTTTTGGCAGTACCTTCCTCATTTACAACCTTTCTAAGGGCAATGCCAAGGACGAAGGTCATCCCTCAAACAAAATTTTAGCCCATTGAAACCTGTCTGTCTTAGCTTCCTTCAACAGACAGAAAGACTATTTATTTTATTATAATGATGGGTTCCCCTGCAGGATTGCTTAGAGCAAGATATTATCTGTAGGTGTGCTCAAGCATGTTGTGGAAGAGTCTTATGCTCTTGCTCTCAGTTTACTGACTATAGAGGTATTCTAAGAAGATAGGATAAAGAAGAAAGGTGCTCTAATTCCTGTTGTGTCTTTACCATAGGAATAGTGTGAGTAAGGGAAAACATCAGTTAATGAGTTGAAAGGAAATAAGTAAGGTGGTGAAACTGAAGGAATTAGAAGTGTTTCAGATAGTGAAAGCTTCACGCTCTCAACGTAACGATGAGGATTTACTTACGGTGTTACACAAGGGTCCTAATCCAAGTGATGCTTCTTTGTGCTTCTGTGTAAAAATGCGGTAAGAGAGAATTCTCTTCCTTAAGAGCATAAAGCTGTGACACTACATGGGAGGACTGGGGAAAGGTCTATGTGAGAAAATAGAGGGAGCTGGAGAAAATTTTGAGAACTTGAGAAACACAGCCTCAATTTTATATGGGCACCCAGGATAGCGATCAGTAGAACTATATGAGAATAATATCATAGGAATGATGCTTTTATGTGGAAGGATTGCTGAAGTATCATCAACAAAAAAAGGTGCTACTCAGAATATGCAAGGTTGAGACTTTGATTATGCCACTTCTCTGATACTTGGATTTATTTTTTTTTTATTTTGTGCTGAACTTGCAGGCAAAAACCCCCAAAACATTAGAAGTTCTATGTTAAAGCACCTAATCTTTATTTGCATGTCAGTGTTTAACAGTATCTGAGGTCTCCTGATAAGCTGCTAGACTTACTTAAACTGCAACTAAACCTAACAATTCACAGGCATTTTTTGTTGCTGCTAACTTTTAAGCTGTGGTTTGGGTCTGCCCAGAGTATTGTTTTACACTCAGCAGTGGCTGCACATTTAAACCCTGCAAGAGTCTGAAAATAGAAAATTATATAGCTGAGTTAATTGAAAATCTGCTTATGGTGCATGGTGGTGTGAGCAATAATAGACATAAAGTGCTGCATGGCACACAGAATCACTTATTTTCAATTGACATAAAACAGGAAATCATTTAATGTCAGATTGATATTAATGAGCACAGTTGTACTAACAAGTGCAAGACTACCTGCAGCATTAAATTTCTTTTTCTGGTAAGGAGCTTGATACAAAGTGATCTCAGCTCTTGGAGGAAATGATATGATGTTTTGAAAAATTAATTGAATGGTGAATTAAGGGTAAGATTGTTATTGTGGGAATCTTTTATGAAAATGGGATAGTGCTTATTTGGGCAAACCATGACTATATTGCCAAAGTCTGAGAATCACAACATAGTCTTTAACTCATCACTAGAGAGGGAATTTTGCTAATAGTAAAGATCAGGATGATTCTGCAATGGCGATGAACATGTCCAAGGAAAATATGAGTATAGTAGAAAGAAGCAGAATCACTGAGGAAACGTTTTCTCCCTTGCTTGGCCCTACTGCTATAAAGCTGGCCTGACTCCCTTCTTTCTTAGCCAGATATTAAAGGTGACTAACATCATCTTCCTGAGAGCTGCCTGTGTTGTATCATGCAGTTCTCCCCAGATGAACAGACTTTGGCTAATGGCCAAGTGACTGTTTCTCCTGTGCAAAACGGGCAAAACCTGAAAGGAATGTGAGAGATTTTGCAATCTGTCTTTATTTTTATTTAAAAAAAAAGTTGACCACCTATAAGTGCTGTATCCAGAAACCTGTATATCCTCCACATTCAGGATCCAACTGTTCATATTTGCAGGTGTTTGAAAAGGAGGACTCTACAGCTTTTGAGGGAGTGCTTTAGTAGCCACTCCATTTCAGCATCCTTTTTCAGCAGAACAGAAGTACTGAGACTTGTTTCTCCTCAGTTTACATGTGGGAAGTTAATTTTTTTTAAATGGAATTACCTGTCCTCCTTCTGTGGTCAGCAAGAAATAGACACCTGCATTGGTTTAGTCTGGTCCACCTCAGATAGCAACATGGGGATGGGATCAGTGTCTAGAAGTGCCTGTCTCTTTCCATTGACCAGAGGGTGGAGCTCAGTTGCCTCCTCTTGTTTTGACATTGCAAACTTCTAGATATCTTAGATGTGTTCCGTACACCATATGTGTAAGCGGCCCTCAGAGGAGGAAGTACAATAATAAAAAAAGCAGGATAAAACAAGGATGTCTTTGCTTTGTTCTTGTCCTAGCCTTGTTATAATCACTTGTAGCAATGCAAAATAACCATGAAAAGAAGAAAATGCCTCTGAGCTACTTACCAAGTAATATAATGATACAGAGAAGAATGGCAATAAGAGCCCCAGTGCTTAGACCGGTGGGATGAATCAAGGCTTCAGCATTACAGGACAACATCTTTCCTCGGTGGTCACAAGCACATACTCGAATAGTCACTGTTTCAGTGCTGCTTTGGATAGGGTAGTCATTATCTGATATTACCACTGGCAAGAAGTAGGTACTCGTTTCATGCCGGTTATATCTGTTCTTTCGGGTGAAAATCCCTGCTGTGTTGTCTGGAAACACAAAGCATGCATTAAATCTTCATCTGAAGACTGAAAGCAAGGATGAGTTAATAAAGAAAAGTCTTCCAAGAAATTTACCTCTGTTGTCCTGCAGTGTAAAGTTTGAGGTGGTGGCTGCCTCAGGAGCTAAGGAGAATGAAAACTGATGTCCACTGTAAGAGTCATCTTTATCAACAGCACTTAATGTTTGTATCAGCTGAAACAATAAGAACAAAATTATCTTCAAAATCAATAAATGTTATTTATGTACTTTATGATTGTAAAGAAATCTTTTTATATATTTTTATTTTTTCTTCTGCTTTAAGGCAGCTGATGCTGCTATGGCTAGCTTAATAAAAATGATCCATGTGCTGCTGATGCTATTGAGGATCACCACACTATTGTAGCCCATACCACCAGCCTGTAACACGATGAATTTGAAAGTTGGCAGGAAAATCATATTGAATTCAAGAGCAGTCTCGAGCTGATGCCCCTCCAGATGGGTAGCAAACCTTTGCATGTGACAAGAAATAGAGATAAAAGGTGAGACAGTCCAAGCTGACTACACAAATCTCATGTCACAGGAACTGTTTTTCTGAATCTTCCAAATTATCTGCTACTTTGAACCATTTAGCAATAGGACTGGTAGTGTGAAAATTATGTGACAGGAAATAGTTATATCACAGACAGGACCTGTAACAAATACAAACCTGAAACTTAAAGGAGGCAGTGGAGGTGCCTTAATAAAGCAGAGAATTACAGAATAAAAATGAATCAGGGATAACAAGGTGCAGTACAGAAAACAGCAGTCTAAAACCTATTGTCACATTACCTGCAAAAATGCTAAGTGTAATCAGATACTGTGCAGCCACTCTTTAATTTGCAAACCCAACAATGTGATGCAATGCAAAGTATACCTCTTGATGAGGTGATGAAAGAGTAGTAGCAAAACTCAATTAATTTGGTACATTTTCTTGTTACAAGTAAGCATCATACCTGTTCTGCCTTTGCGTTTTCACAGACAAAGGTCTCGTAAAACATGGCAAACTCTGGAGCGTTGTCATTTACATCCAAAACCTTAATGAACACTGGGACACGGCTGCTTTGTTTTGGGTTGTCTGAAATAGTAAAATCAGAAAGATGAAAGATTTTATTTAGCCCATCTACTGACTCAGTGCAGGAGAAGAAAAGGACAGACTTATGGGCTCAGTGCCTTAAATTGTCTTAGTCACAACACTCCACTCATATTCTGTTGATTTCTTGGGAATGCATTATGGGGTGAATTCCACAAATCATGCTGTGTTATCATTACTCTGATTCTGTGTGAACTATACATTTAAGATTGGGTGGGAGTCCTGGATTTACAAATTCTTTTGAATGCTTCGAATGATTATGAATGCATGTGTGAAATCTACATACACATAAATATAATTCTGGAATTAAATTAAATTTATTTATTAACCTAATACAGTTTTGTGGCAACAAAGTTTCTAGAACAAATTCATAGAATCATAGAAACAGCTAGGTTGGAAAAGACCTTTATGATCATCAAGTCCGACTATTACCCCAGGACTGCCAAGCCCACCACTAAACCGTGTCTGTATGGGCCTTGTCAACACATTTCCTGAACACTTCCAGGAACAGTGATTCTACCACTTCCCTGGGCATCCTGTTCCAATGCCTGACGACATTTTTGGTGAAGAAATCTTTTCTAATATCCAGTCTAAACCTCCCCTGGCACAGCCTGAGGCCATTACGTCTTGTCCTATCACTTGTTACTTGGGAAAAGAGACCAGCCACCCCCCTGCTCCATTCTCCATTCAGGTAGTTGTAGAGAGCTATAAGGTCCCCCTGAGCCTTCTCTTCTCCAGGCTAAACAATCCCAGTTCCCTCAACCGTTCCTCATCAGACTTGTGCTCCAGACCCTTCACCAGCTTTGTTGCCCTTCTTTGGACCCGTTCCAGCACCTCAATGTCTCTCTTGTAGTGAAGGGCCCAGAACTGAATACAGTATTGAAGGTCTGGCCTCACCACTGCTTCACCAGTCCCTTCCTTAACAGGAAGAATGAAAAGTTGTGAAGATTGGATTTAGTGACTTTTTTTTAATCCCCTCTCCACCTCATATATAATATTCTGCCCCTTACAAATCTCGGGACACAGTTCCTTAAGCTATCATAATTATGTTTTTAATATATATTATATATATATCTCATATATATTATATAGATTATATAAATAGCAACTGTGGCTGTGATCACAAATATTTTCTAATCTGTTTTGAATTGATTTGGCTGATATTCTAAAGTTAACACTAAAAGGTATCATTGAAGAACAGAAGCACTATATAGAATCTGCATATCCCATGTAAACGTTTTTTTCCTTATAGAGACTGTATAGCGCCAAAAGTTTGAATTTGACAAGGATATTCTTGAGCACCAAATACTGAAGAAAATGTTGTCATCTTTCTAAATAAAAATGAAAAAGTTTGGAAATGCACCAGATTGTATAGACCATTCCTTATCCTGCTGGACCATTCTTTTCCTTGTTGGGGTGAGACAGGCTTTAGTCCTGAAGATTTCATGAAGAAATAAGGAAGAAAGGCAACAGGCAGCAATCTTGCCTAGGAGCTGGCTAGAATGGTGAAATAGTCAATATTCTGAGGCAAAAAGGCACCACTGACTGCTAAAAGGTACAAGATCTGCCCCAAAACCATTTTGTCAACACCAGTCAAAAGACTTTGCCAGAACTCAATCTCTGTCTTTTGTGCTCTACATGACATAAAAATTGTCTAGGCCAGGTCACCCAGACATACCCACCTCCATGCCTGGGAATATGTAGTTGTGGGAATGTGAGAGCGTGAAATCTATAAGGGAATGATTGTGATCAAAATTAGTTTCCCCCCTCCATTTCATAAGGGCTCACACTGAGTTTTGCTACATTAATTTCCTACCCATATTAATATAGTTTATTAATGCATTTTAACCAATGATTCAAAGGGGAAAAAAAAAGTGCAATAAAATACAGCCGATCTAAGACTCTGTATGATTCTGCAAGCATTCATTATAGTAGCTTGTGGTGTTAGGCTTTAATAAAAGTCCTATTACTGTGTTTATCATACTTTTATACATCTGAAAAAGCCTTCTCCAAAATTGGGACTGTATATTTGTCTTACAGAGCTCAGTCATTTTGACAAAATATTGTGCTTTAAAGCTCCATAGTCCCATTGAAGTTAATATGATTCCATTAGGCATAAACCACTTTCTAATATGAACCATCGGGCTAAATTCATTCAGTGTATTAAATAACAGTTTATGTATAAGATAGATTAGACTGAATGTTATGCTAAAATGCATCAATACAAATCTTGAATTTTTATAATAGGCAGAAATCAAAGGTACTCATTTGAAGTTGCAGGACTATTGGCAAGACTATTTTATAAGGGCATAACTTTCTAACAAATACATTCAAATATATTGGCAAATGTATTCTCCTCTCAAGAACTACAATTGTTTTCTTTTCTGCTTTTTGAACCATGAATCACATCTTTTCATTTTACTTCTATATGCTTAAGATTCTCACAATTTAAAATGATACTGTAATAAATAGAAATGTCATAAAACCCCTCTGTGCTCTATGGGCATGGGCCTTTCTTCTGATTTAATGGAATTGTAAGTCAAAATATATATACACATCTTTAAGCCTTTTTTTGTCATCTTTCAAATTATTTTTGCAAATTAATTGATGTAATTTATTTTTTTTTTCATTATCCTTTAATTACCACTGGGGTCCATCTCCAAAAAGAAGCTCTACAGACTCAACAAACTGCTTACATCTATTCATCTCTGTAGTGATATGCTTTCTGTTGAGCCAGCAACCAAACTGCTAAAGTTCTTTTTCTGAATATAGCCTCGAAGTCCAGCCAATATTTGATTTAACCTTAAGGGTTAAGAAAGAATATTTAAAAATACTCCAGGGATTCTCTCTGGTAAATCAGCTGTAATTCTGCAGCTGTGAATGAGTAGCTTTGTGTACTGAATTTTATTGCCAGTTTGCCTTCTGACTATGGCAGATGTACCGACCCAGTGTTTCACCAGCTATATGTCTGCAGCATTCACAGCATAATTCTCTGGGCTGCTGAGCACACTACAGCTCATACTGTGAAAAAGAACATAAAAAAAAATAAAAGGAGCTAGCTACACTTACTGACAATTCTAGACAATTAAAGGCCAAAAAACTTCTGTACTTTTTTCTTTTTTTTTCTACTGTAAAATGAAGCCACGAAGAGTTGTCACTGAAACATGCTTCTCTTTACGGCTTTATCTTTTCTCCATATCAAAGGGAGCACCCATGCATCTGACTGCACATCCTGCCTGTAACTTGACTGGATATTTATTTTAGATAACTTCAGTGAAATATACCTGGAGTTTGATGTGATACTATGTCACTGAGAGCAATCAGAGATTAGCTGGAATTTAGTTGAATAGGACTTCAGCTAGCCTTGCTAGAAATTACTGGTTTTGCCTACGAACATTAAGCAGTAGTACTTTCCAGCCTCGTCTCTTGAGACTAAAATTAGTGAAGTAGCCTGGATCAGACCAAGGCTTGTTTAAACAGTAGCTGTATTTCAACCAAGAATATTGCCTTTGGAAGGGATCTACCCCAGTTATGCCGAATTTGATCCAGGCTCAGTGAAGCACAACCTGGGGAGTAGTTTCTTGTGGCCTGGAAAGATCCAGACTGAAGAGTAATTAAGACAGAATCCTCTGTCAGACACAAGAGGTTTCGCTGTGATGGTCCAGTAGAAGGTCTGTTCTTAGGGGTGAAGTCAAGGAGCTAAACGAGTATTTCATATAGAGGCTAAGCTGATTTTCAGGTAGTATATTGTTCTGTATATTTTATATTATTTCAGCTTTGCTGGGGTCAGTGCAACTGTGCTTCCTAAATATTCTTGCTGTTCTTTCCTTTTTAGGCGGTTTTCCTCTTCCTCCTCTGTCCAGGAGCTATCTGTAGCGTACAACTTTTGACCTACCATCACTTCTTTAGGCTTAATAAAAACACAAACACCTGACTAACAGTCAGCCAGAAGTCAGTGTTTGATATGCTGAAAACACCTGCGTAGCATTAAAATGTGCAAACTTTCAAAAGAGGGGCAAAAATATTAAGAAACATCATTCCTGTAGAGTCTAGTCCACAATGCTTTCATATAACCCCATGTGCTTGCCTCAGTAGCATTGTTTCACATCAGCTTTCAGTTTTAAAAAGATCTACACAATAAGGAAAGCTGGAGTCAAGTAAGTATTCTTTAGGTGCACTTCCAATGCCAGTTTCAATATTCAACAATCATGTTCAAAATTAAAAATGCCTATTACCGATTAGAAAACACACAATTGTTGCCTTTCCTTCCTACTCAGTTACTTCATGAACTGTTTCCCTAGTAAATACAAAATTGCAGACCACTTCTTGCAGAGTTTCTGCTTCTTCATTAGCATTGAGTGGACTATACATAAAACCTGACATCTGTCCAGCTGTGCTTTTCCACATGCTCAGCTAGAAGGCTAAATTCATTACATCAAAGACAGCAGAGGTATTTAGGTTTGACTTACTGATCTCTGCTGCTATTACTGTAATGTTGTGCCATAGCAGTGTTTCCCGGTCAAGGGGTTTTGAAGTAAATATCGAACCGTTTCCTGAATTGATGTTGAATACTCTGTCCATATCAGTGTGTCGATCTACAGAATACCTGCAAATACAGAGAAAGTGGTTAGGCGAATGCTTTCCTTTTAATTTCTATGTTCTTAAACCATTTTCTAAGACTAGACATCAAACAGCTTGTAAATGGGTTTGCCTTTTGTTTTCAGCACAGGATTCAGAGTCTTTATATATTCACACAAAGAGCTGGTCTCAAGCTACTGTATAATGACACATTGGAGGTTTGATTTAGAAGGTGGAGCACTGTCACTGAATAAATGAATTACTGCAGAATTTACATACCTCTGAGAATCATCAAAGCTTTGTTTTTAGTGAGAAATGTGAAGTCTGTGTCCTGAAAGATATGAAGTCTATTTTAAGGCTGAGTTGGCTTTCCCTTTATAAACCCCTGTTTTTATGGTTTGATATCTCAACTGTTCCAGATAATTTCTGATATAAAATTTGACAGCTGGAGTGCATTTCTGCCTTTCACTTCCCAGTGTTTAAAAAGACTGGCCCCTGCCCCCAGACAAGTCAGTATGGAATAGATACTCATTATTCTATGGTACATATCACATAAAGGTTTGCTATAGTTCATTAAAACTAACATGCTCAGCCCTGGTTGATGGTATCTAGATGTGAAAGTGAAAGCTATCAAGCTCTGGAGGAGCTCAGCATCGATAAACAGATTAAAATTTTCAACCTGATCTTTCACTTTTTTCTGCTGAACTGACTCCAACTTTAAAAGCAGAGCTCTCCAGTTCACAGGAGAGTGTGCCGCCACCTTGATCCAAATACTGTGATTTGGTTTAATCTATCATGAAGTCCTGCGTAAATTATGGAGGTTTAGACAGAAATATGTCTCTGATGTTGCTAGAACAAGACTGCAATTGCATTATTTTGCTCTTGTTTCAAGCCCATGTGTGTGCTGTTGTACAATACAGGACAGAGTTATAGGATGCCCAGTGTGCTCCCTTGGTCTCCTTGCAGGACAGGTCAATGGAAATAAGGCAATTGCTAGCGCTTGTGTCCAGACAGGGATAAAGACACGGCTGAACTGGCATGCAGTCAGATGAAAACTGGGCCAGGAGAATGACTGGCAGAGTTTACTGCCACTATAGAATTGAGGGGAATGTAGAGACTGAAGAAAAATTTCTATTCCCTGCTGCACCCTAGGAGGAGCTGTGTGACATGTTGCTCACTCTGCACAGATTTCCTAGTGCCTGTGCAGTGTTTCAGAAAGATCTGGCATGGAAGACAGAGGGAATAGAAGAACCTAGTTGAAACGTGATTCTGACAGAGGTTTAAAATGAACTAACTTGCTAGTTATCTTGTAATTGCAGTTTTTTTTCTTCTTTGAAATAAAAAAGAATAAGATATATCCACAGCAAATAAATTGGCCTTATTCTAACATAAGAATTTTAGTGTAGCCTACCTTTCTAAACAAATAGCAAATATTGTTTGCACTAAATTGTTTTTCTTTTTCCACATTAAATTCCTATGAAAACAACCAATGAGAGTCAAAGGTACTCTCATGAAAAGCTTTTTTATTTCAGTAGGACTTGCATGGACACACCTTGTTACTTCTTCAGGTGTTGATTTAGTTTTTATTTGTTGCTGTCACTTGACTAACAGTACTGCAATTTCAGCTGCACAAAGTCAGCTGTGGTGTCACTAATGTAAATCCTTTATGCAGCATTGTAATGTTACCATCATCTTGAAAAGATTATGTGAGGAGGTACCTAAAAGGCAGTGCTGATAGATGGGACAGCTCCAGCAAGCTATGTTGTTTTGTCCAAATCTAAATAGCACATCTGATTCTGTTGACATAGCTGAAATGTTTGATGGAAATAAGTTTATACAAACCAGTCTGACTCTTGTATTTTGACTAAGTAAGTATTTGATATGGTAAACATTTCATTTTAACTTTCATCCATTCAGGCTTTTATAGGATATTATGTTGGTATTTTGTGAATTCAATTATTTTTCAGATATTCTGTAACCTCATTTCCATATCTTTCAGCTGAAATACTTTGGTATTTCCATTTTGCAGTAAATCTAGATTTTGTGCTCCTATTTGAAATTAAATATCAGGATTTTTCATAGTTTAGCTGTTACAGCCAACTGCAATAGTATGTTTCAGGCTCTTATTCAGCAAGACATTTAAGTAAGCAACTAGCTTTAGGCATGAGTTGTCCATTTGTTTGTTGCTTTTTTTCCCCCTTATTTTTTTGCTCACGCTCCATGTTATGAATGGACATAAAATGTTTTGTTGCCTTAGCACATTTTAATGACTGGCCATATTGCATTCACTATCTTTATAAGATCACCCAAATTCAATCTGTGATACAGCATCTGGAAGAAAAAGAAACAAATAAAAAGCCAAAAATTGTTCTGGACTTTTCAGCTTCTGGCAACTAAGGTTGCCAGAGCTGTAACACTGAGAACTTCTTCGAGACACTAAAAATTATAAAATCTAAATCCTTGTAAAACTATGTATATTCAGTCATTTGTACAGTGGAAAGTTAAAATCACAAAAAAAAAAAACAAACAAACACCCAAAAACCAAAAAACGAGCCAGAGAACAGCTTCTTAATGAAATGTTAATTTTATTTCTTCATATTCAAAAGAAAATACATACAAGGTCAATGCAGTTAAAGTATATTCTAATTATACCATTAACCCTGGACCAGAAGGATAATTTTAATAAGCTAGACTGTCGCTTCTGTTTCTCAGTTTGTATAATCCGGTCTCTTTTGATCAGGGACTGTTAATTATGCTGAATTGGTGGTGATTCTGACTTACGGATCATAACCCAGTAAGAATTAAGCAGGCAACATCAAACCCGTTTTTACATTTATTTAATGAAATTACTGGTGAATATTTGTCAGATTTCAGGACTTCATTCCTTTCAGGCCTTGAGGAATTGACAAGGTAAGAAGTTAAAAGGTATGTAGATTTTAGTTTCTCCTTGTACATAACAGGAAGAAGGGGAGGGTGAAAGAGAGAATCTAACACATGCAAATATGTTGTCAGTAAAATACACAAACAAAATTAAGCCTTACATTTGTTTGCAGATCATTTTCATCTGGGATACTTTAGTAAATCAAATCACAGCAGGGAGACAGTTCCAGTGACTGATGAACTTCATTATGCCTCTGAGGAGTTACCATAGCAAAAAAACTCAGCTAGCAATTTACAAAGATCTGATGTACAGTACAGCAGTGCCAGTTGCAGTGTTGGGTTTTGTTTTGTTTTTTTCATTATGCAGTGGTTCATAATATTTTGGTTTAGAGCAAACACAAGCAGAATGAAAATCTTTTTATAACAGAGCTGGACAGTGGAGTGTTCCTCAGGAGTGTATTAATGTAACTATGCATGAATGGATATCCAAATATTGCCAAACATCTATCGGTGCATTTTTGTATTTTCTTAACGTCACACTACAAGTAAAGCTTATTTATAAGGGCTGAACTGATGAAATGTAACTCTACCAATACACAGGTCATGAATGGTTACACAGTTTTGCAACCAGGGCAGGTATCCGCTTCATATTTTCTGTAGCTTCATTGTCTTCTGATGTTCAGCAGCTTGCAGTCTAAAGTAACCACAAGTCAAGAAGATTTGTGGGTCAGGAAGGGATGTGTGTGTGAATTTTTCATAATGCATTTTCATAATGATATTGTGAAGGTTTCCTTTAATGGAAGATCAAAGGGGCTTTCATCTAACAGAGTTAGTACTCTGTTTAAAAAGAGAAAACTTCACTCAAGTAGAGGAGAAAATAGAAGGTTTTCATTGTAATATCAAGTGTCTAAAGATTTTATTTTTAGCCGTCAAGAAAAATTGACAAGCAAGTGACAAGTCATATATATACAGTATAATTGCATCTTCCCTGAAGCTCAAAGTGAAAATCAGATTTAACATCTCTATTGCATGATGGAAAAAAAAATAAAAATCACCCTGTCAAAAAGATGCAGAGTCAACCAATGCCCCTAAATTCTAGGAGATACCCAGGATATTAGCACCACAAAATTACATTTGTTGCAAGCTAACATCTCTTAGGCTACTGCTCTCTGCTGATTTCCTTCCCCTCTCACTGATTTTCATGTTTCGTCTTGCTGTGTTTATTTCTATTACTCTAACCCCTTCCTCAGTTTTTTTTCTCCTTTCACCTTGCTGTTGCATGTTATTAAAGAGACAAGTTTTCCACTGCACTGCATCAATTTTGATGCCTCTGCTAAATTTTGCTCAATAATTATCTGATACTTTAATATGCAAAGTACCTATACTGTATTAAAGAACTGCCCTTTGAAAGATAGGTAAATTTTAGCACACACATTCAATTAATACAAAAGAGCCAGTAGGCAGTACTCAACAATGAACAGCATAATCCCTATCCACTCTAAATCACCTATAATTAGGATCTGGTGCTGGTGCAAAAGGCAAATGGTTGTAGTTAACGCCACAGGGAAGCAGGAAAGCACTCCCTTCACTCTCCAGTGCCACTGCATATAAAAAGGCAGATTCATGTGAAGACTGCAATGGGCCTGGGTGTCACCCCAACCAGTTCTTCCTCTTCGTGCTAGCATGCCCATGAAGACATGCTATAGAGGCTGTTCATTCTGTTTCTGGGCTTCACCAAAGCCAACAAAACAGTATGTTACTCTTCAGGTTACTATGCTCTGCTAGTCCAGAACTCCATATAATTGTTGCATGTTGTGATATAAATGAAAGCAAACCTTCATTAAAATTAGAAGGCTTAGTCTTGAACAAGAATTAACACGCAGGGCATTGCATGGAAACTGAAGACAGGGAGGGTTTCTGCCAGGAACGTTTTAGATTATAATTTCTTCATCTAGGAAATAAAACGATGATATTTACCCCCCTTACAAGATGATCTGAGAGCTTAAAACTTATTCATGCCTCATAAACTTTGTAAGATATTTTGATGAAAGTTCTTTACAGAAGTGAAAAGTATTGATGGATTCGATTTTTATTAAACCTGCATTGTTCTATTTTGGTTTTAAGACTACTACTGCATTTCCAAGATGCCCAACACAGAAAATTGAATGCTGAAAATTGACCTGGGTTTAATATTGTTGCATTTTTTCATTTCCTCCTCTTACTGCCTTGTCAGTAGCAATGAACTTTAATTAAAGCACACAACTATTTAAAAGTTCCTTTATACTCTATCCCATATGACTTAAGTACTCCAGTATGTTTTCAAATGTACTGAAACAATGTACCTGTTAATACACAAAAAACGAAGGCTTAGGTTTAACTACTCCAACCTTAATGTTGCATCCACTTCCTCTGAGACTAGTTTATTAGTTCATGGCAAGTCTAATTTGTGAAGTCCAAGACACTGATTCTTATCTCACTAACCTTACACTGATACAAGTTAAGATGGAGTCTGCATGCACGAGCTGCTTTTAAACCATTTCCACTTGCAGTTTACAGAAGGTAAATGTGACCTCTGTTAAATAGGTCTAGATGCATGGGAGAAAAAAGGGCTGCTGAATCACCCCCCTGTTATATAGCCAAAAGGATGCAACACACTGCACTAGAAAATATTAAAGGTGGAAGGAGAACACTTACATCTTAGTGGTCTTCTTGCAGTAAATTCTTCCATAGCAGAAATAGGCACAAACATTAGTTACTGGAGTGGATAGGATGTAATTCAAGATGCAAGGGCCATACAAACACTGTTACACATACCTAGATATGCTCAAATGTGAGAGATCATTTACCATCTACAATACTCCATATTTAAGCATTCCTGAACAATTTCATTGGTACAAGCGATTTTTTGTATATTGACATGAAAAAAGCAAAATTAAAGCTGTAAAAAAAATTACTCACAAGCTGAAATAGTCTATGCTTACTTGACAGGGTTCTTGGCAGCATCTGGATCCTGAGCAGTTACTGTTCCTATTACAGTGTTTATTGGAACGTCTTCCTTCACTTCCATTATGTATGCCGGTCTGCTGAACACAGGCGGTTCATCTACATCCTCCACCTGAATTCTGACTGTAGCTGAGTCCTTGAAAGGCCCCAGATAGAGGAATCGAGGATCCACGTGAATATTGGTAGCTTCCACTTTCAGTATATACAGGTTTTTACTTTCAAAATCCAATGCCTGGGAAGAGGAGGGGAAAAAAAAAAAGGAAAGAAAAAAATTTGGGAAGTCTGTGGGCGCTCCTGTGGCTTGCAGCCAGATGACCCAAACGAATAGGCAGATGTCATAGAGAAGCCTTTGCTAGATAACGTAAGCCTGAACTGGAATTACAACGCCAGCATAAAGGAAAAAGGTCTCCATGGCTCCATGGTATGTTATAAAAAGAACCCAACACATTTTTTCAGGGAATTCTGTGGCTGGCATTCCTAAATATCAATTAACCTCTCATTCTCAAATGGCCTTAACTTTTCATGCCTTAGATTCTGTCATTTTTGGCATTTTGACGTTTTCTGGTATATTCCTTGCCCCTAAGCACCACATACTAAAGGGGGGGAAGATTTTCTAGGAGCTGCTTGTTTAAATATTGGCATTCCATCACTGAAACAAAGCACTGTGACATCTGTGTGACATCTAGTGTCTGGACATCCTGAACTACCCATCAAGCCAAACATGATTTTGTGATAGGCTATGACTGTACCACACGTTATTAAAAGTATGAAACAGCAGCACTTAGCAATTCTCTGTTAAATGCGGGGATAGAGTAGTTGTCCTGTTTTTCCATTACGATGTGAAAGATTCACAGCTTCTGTCAACAATGGACAGAAATGCAAATGGAGTTAGACTGATATAATAATCAGCCCCTGGAAGGCATCTCTTAAAAAACAAGAAATGACAGGTGTCGTACTGATAGCAACAAGCAAGTGCATGGTCAGAAAATCTATACAATGTCTATCTAGTGATGACTGAACTTGAACTGATGGAGGATGATATCTGTAACCTTATCAAGCTTTCCTGATAGCCCACTGTAAACAATATTTCTCAAACCTTTTCTGACAGCCAATGTGCAACCTCATAGATGATGTCCAGTATAATCTGGTAAGGCGTCAGATGCTTTCTAAAACAAAAGCATGCTGATGGATTTAATTACATTTTTACAAAATGTGAATCAAAATTAATTAGTCTGTGTACTTTATTACATTACAACTATACAATTCAAGACCTTCTGATAATGCAAAATAGGCAATGTAATACTGATTAGTTCTGTGGTCTTAACACAGCACTTTCTAGTAAGTGAGCAAATCCTGGAAACATCACAGAGAAAAAAATCACAGTTGGATAGTCTTGCCTCCTTGAGTTATTCTGTGGATACGTTCTGACTGTAGCATTTTTTTCTCAGCCCCATTCCACTCCCCAGATTATTTACCTGCTCAGGTCCTTCAAAGTATGTGCATTGGTCTAGTAAAGGAGGATATAAAAGGAAGGACATCATTTGCTTTTATAAAAGAAAATTTAAATAGGTAATGTAGAGATACCTAACTGATAAAATTCAAGTTAATAAACAACACATGTTGCACTAAAAATGGAAAACAAATATGTGCTAGATAAAGTTTTGACTGGTATTTCAGAGGCTGGGATTAAGCATGCTAAAATGTGTACCTTTTTGACACTTATAATTCCTTCCTGTGTGTCCTTGTCTGTGGTAATTCCAAACATGTCATATCCATCCCCCTCAGTGATGCTGTATTCAATCTCTGCATTTTCATCCACATCAGCATCATTAGCTTTTATCCTGCCAACTGGTGAGTTAGGTGGTGTAGACTCAGGAACTCTGAAATGGTATGTACCTACAGCAGAGGGAGAAGAAAGTTTTGTCAGTCAGTCTCGTGGTACTTTGGACACCATCTCTCAGCCCACTCTCCATGCTGGGCATGCACAGATGAGTTCATGAGTTCACTGTCATTTCCAGGCCTTCCTGGGGCAACAAGCCTTCAGCTTCTGTCTTACTTTCATGCAGATAAAAGTAACTTTTTTTTCTATTTTTCACTATGAAGGGTAGGCATTTTGTTTTCTTACAAACATGTATTTTTATCAGCATTCGTTCCATTCTAGATATTATCAAGGTCTCCGTAGGCCATATCAAAACTGTATCCAAAAAATGTCTTGAGGCCAAAAGACAAATATTAAGAACTGCCGGAGGCTAATGCAACTTAGTAACACTAAAACCAAATCCAGTGCAAATGCCTATTAATAATGTGCTACATTGAATTCTCCTCTGAAAAACCTCTACTCGGGGAATGTTGGCATTATGAAGCTGTATCTTTGGCTTTTATATTGAAGACATTTATGTCCAGAGATGTATAATTAACTCACTGGGGGCAGAGTGCTATATTTTCTCTAAAGTTGCTCTAATTTAAATGGAAACACTCTGCCCACAGCTAAGAGCAGACTTTGAACTTAAATGACAAGTTGCTTCCAATAACTTTCCCAGTGACTTAACCGCCAAAGCTTGCTGATTTGTCTGATAGTATCTGCAATTATTTTCTCTAACAGCTGCTCTTGACTTTCATACACACTGACACTGTGATATACACACATCACATACAGAGCAGTGGTTAGACAAAGCAAAAAAGAAGAAAGAGAAAGAAAGGAGGAAGGAAACAGAGAAAGAGGAAAGAAGGAAAGAGAGGGAAAGAGAAAGCTGATGAAAGCTGTATCACTTTGAATCACTTATGACCATGAATGGTCATTAGTAGAAATTAGTTTCCAATAGATCTTGCTCAACTGATTCCTTTAAATGTCACACAGATATAAACCAAATTATCTGAGATAGGGGACGGAAAATAGGTAGAAATATCTGGTACATTTATGTATGTGCCTTTGTTTCTGCATGCAAAGAATATAGGAAAACCCATTGAGGCAAGTGCTTCCTGGATGAAAATACTAATTTTAATAGAATTGATTTTGGGATCATTTTACATACTTAAATAAGTATGTTGCAAAGCTTAAATATGTTAGATTAGAACAGATATCTTCAAACACGAAGTCTAATAGACATAATACTGAACAAGAAATATAGATCATATGAGTCAAAGCTATTTAATAGGTAGGAAAAATAGAAGTTGTTTCTGCACTTTAATTCACCTCTCAGTCTACTGCAACTGGAGTAAAAAGATGAGATTTTTTTTCCCACTTATTGCAATTAGCCTTAGTATGATGCTATTGCTTGCTTGTGTTTTCTCTTTTTGTCTCTTAATGGAAGTTTTATACTCAGATCAGAAAAGCAGAAACAATTTTTATCCATTTTAATGTAAAGACATAAAATACAAATATTCCATACTCTGGGGGAAGCGAGGTGGATTATCGTTTACATCAGTCAGTGTAATGTTCACAGTGGTGGTTCCTGATAATCCACCCATCTGGCCTCCCATATCCTTAGCCTGGATGACCACTTGATATTGCTCTCTGTTTTCACGGTCCATGTTTAGCAAAGCAGTTTTAATAATACCTGAAAACATAAAAATAAAAGAGGGGAAGTTACAAATAAGGTCCTGACTTTGATGGAAATTCTTATTAAAAAATACCCACAGTCTAAAGAACAAAACAATTTCTGTGTAATAAGTAAAATCTGCCCTGTACAAATATTTACCTCTATGAGACGGCTCATTAAATTACAGACTTTTCATATCATATTTCAGGCTGCTGCCTACGTGACAGATACAATATTAGTGGCAACCCCAGAAACATGTCCTACTTATTTGTGAGCAGTGTTATTGCACATAACTATTTATCCCCTTTCAGTTCCATGCTAAAAGTCTCTCACTGAACTGGATAAAGGCTCTTTGTTCATTACAATGTGCTCCATCTTTACTCTCCTGTTCTGTTAATATTTTTATTTTGACAGAGGTGGTAAGTTAAAAAAAAAACTAACTTCAGCAAGACATCATTAAAGAAGCAGTACAACAACATTAAATGGGAGAAGAGGAATTAATTAAGAAAATTATGCCTGAGTATGTATATTTCTATTTATACACTGATTGAAATTATTTTGCCAGTCACTTTCTTCTTCAAAGGTACAAACACCAATTATGAGGCCAAACTTTATTGAAATTCTTACTGAATATTTACCATGAAGAAAAATGTTTGCATTCCTACTGGGTCTCTTAAGGCCAAGAACTGATTCCTTTGTAGGCAAAAGGGATGAAATTCAACTACTGAAATTCATGGCAAAATTCATAGCATATTTGACAGAGACTTATTTCACTCTAGGAGTTTTGCAATTGATTTCCATGGCGGCAAGATCAAGCCTGTGGTTTACCTTGCTTCCTCTCTGTGTTCCATACAACTTTCTTGCTAGAAGGTTATTATGGGTGAACTCCCAGCTACATTATCCTTATTATAACTCTAGATGGAAGAGCACATAGCATACTGTCCAAGTCAGAATGAGTGCATCAGTGCAAAAATCCTTGACTGTATTATCTAATACTATATGCTTGAGGGGAAGTTCCCTTTGATCTTACCTCTCCCTCTTTTCAGAATTATGTACATTTTTTTCACTTCAGGTTTTTCTTTGGGGCATCTAATCTCTCCCTCCTTTTCCCTGCCTGAGTCTCTAAGATTTATTTCAGAAACAATGTTAAATTAATGACCCAGATTAATTATCTGGGACAATCCATTCCTTTCTTGTAAGGGTACTGAGGAGAAATGATTTCTCTAGCTTCCAGCAACCTATCACAGTGGATTTTTCCCATGTAAGGAGTTTCTTGAGATCTTTTGTTTTTTGTTGGAGAATTTTGTTATAAATCTTGGGAATTTCTATGTAGTCAGATAGTCAGTGGTGCAGCAGTCAGACAGAATTCATGTTTTACATGCACAGGTTCCAAAGCTGTCTGTTAATCAGCCCATAAAAATTTCCAGTCACCATGTGTAATTTAAACATCTTCCAAAAACAGAACTCAAGTTTGGGATTCTATTTGTGATCTTCTAGTGTAGCACAACAGCCAATTTTACCTCTTCTATCATTATTCTTAATTAAGATTTCTTTCATAAAATTAACATTAAAGTGATGTGCTGCAGATGCACAGAAATTATAATTACTTTAAATAAGTTTTGAAGAAGCAGAAGTAGAAAAAAAACCAACCTGAACAAACCCTCAATCTTAATTTAGCCATTATGAATATCTATGACTATTAAGCACTTTTTTCCACACCCACCTGATTCTCATTTTTGTCTAAAAGCCTACCTATTTAGTTTAATTTAAGCATCCACAGTAGTCTCTGTACCTACTGCTTGTTAAAAATTATAGCAAGTGGGTTCACATCCAGTACTAATTGTATTTATTAGACTTTACCGGTAAAATTAAAAAAAAAGTAAGTGTCACGCTTACAGATGTATCGCTCTATTAAGTTTGTCAGATTTTGCACTAAAATGTAATCTCTCTGAAGTTTTTGTCCAATGTGTTCTAGCTTGGCTTAGCATGTCATTTTGAATTACAGACATTGTCACAGAATGACAGATAAGGTCCCCTGACCTGTCTCGGATTCAACAGAGAAATATGGTTGTCCCTGGAGAATGCTGTAGACAACTTTAGCACTGTTTCCATATGTAGGATCATCGGCATCAGTTGCAGTGACTTGCACAACAAAGGTACCTGCAATGATAAATAAACAAATAAATAAATAAATAAAAGCAAAAAAAATAGACATTTTTTTCAAGACAGTTTATGATGTAGAAATACACATAGTTCAGGTCCAGGTCAAACTTGTGGCAAAAAGTTAGAGACATTTTTATTTTGTAGAAATTTCTCTGTTCATAACGGTGATAGATTCACAATCAAGATGATAGCTGGCTTATTCTTAGTTCATTAAAATACACAGTTATTGACTGGCTGTGTAGTTCCTTCATCATATTTCTCATAAAGAAACCAGAAGTGCACCTTTCCCCAGGTATTGAAGGCATTCAGAATTTCAGTCTAGGTCAAGAATATAATTTTGTAAACCTACTCATGCTTGTAAGGTATTTGACATAGAAATGTAACCTGTTTTTTCATGTGTCTTGTAGAGAAAGAAATGGTGTTGAAACCTAGGCAAAGTGTTAACAAACATTAAAAAAATGAGCTTAGGTCTTGGCATTTAAAACAGATTTGTGAATAAAATATTCACATATTAAAATATGAATATTACGTTCTCTCCACCAGATGAGATTTTATCCATGTGACAAGTCCCATGAATGAGAGGAGAGAGTATGCCCCAAAGTCTTTATTTTCGTATTGCCTGAGCTTTATTTTAATCTCATTTTTGATCATGATTAATTAATACTTCTCCCCTGGATATTATTTCAGATTAGAAATGTGATTCTTGCAGCTTAACCATCCGTCGCTCTCTGACAAAGAAATCAAAATGACCTCCATAAGAATCAGAAACAAAGAATCAAATCCCGTCAACTTCTCTGGAAAAGACCCAATATTAAAATTATATTTCAAGAAAGCTATTTATTTTTGATTAATTCCTACAGTTTGATACATTTTAAATCAAGAAAAAGATTTCAGTGGACTTTGGAGCTCTTTTATTTTGCATTAAAAGAGAAAAAAAGGTCATAAGTTAGTGGCATATATTAGAATCAGTGGTGACCTGACTCAGGTCACAGTTTTCACTCCTGAAGCGTGTACAACCACTTCTGCATCCACCTTTTTCCATTTTTTTTTACCTTCCTGAAATAAAGAATTGTTGCTGAACTGATCCAGGGGTGATATGGACACAGGTGACTGTGGAATAGCATATTTTTACACTACTACTAAATGATGTTAACAAAGCATACTAAAGTCACACAGAACTTACTTAGATCACTTTCACTGTAGGTAAACTCGATTGCATGAACTTGCATTTTTTGTGGTATGTCAGAGGGAGTGGGTTTCACTCAGCTGACATTTCTGATTCCAGCAAACTTCTGTCACTACAGCAGATGTCTGTGTTTAGTGCCTGAAAATTTGGCCCTTCATTAACTCCTCAGAAAGCACCCCGACCACACACTGAAATAAATTATTAGTTAGCACCTACCAACATCTGACATTTCAGGAATGCTGGCATTGTAAACATCCTTTGTAAACATTGGTTCATTGTCATTGATATCATGGATCTTAATGATGAACTCAGATTCTGGTTCCACTGGTCTTCCAGTCCTTCTGTTTACAGCCTGGGCACGGAGTATGTATACAGGCTTTTCTTCCCTGTCTAGTCTCTTTGTGGCTTGGATGTCACCAGTATTTTCATTGATAATGAAGAGGTCTCCTGCTCCATCTCCAGAAAGGATGTACTTAAGTGATCCATCTCCTTTATCTTGGTCTGAGTGCAGCTGGTGGTGAAATGGGAATTAAAAAAAAAAAAAAAATTCAAAAAAAAAGAAAGGAAAGTAAATACTTGGGACACAATTTTAGATACTTTTACTGATATCATGATGCATATTTTACTATTATTAATACCCAAACAAAAGTCTGTACCCTGCTTTTGGGAAATGAGATACCACAGTAGTAGTGAATTGACAGAGTTGTGTCTTGATGTCAGAATTGAAATGGGCCACAGTATTATAAGAAATTGACTGAGAAAAACCCATGAACTGAAGCGGCAGATCACTTTCCCAAGCTAAGCATACATCAATCAGATCTAAATGCTAGCTATGTAGGTGGAATCCTAGGAATATGTAGGACAAAGAGATCCTACAGTGAGAAAACAGTGGATTTGGAAATTGCAGTAAGCGAAGAATTAAAAAGTGGCCAGATCAGCCACTTTTTGAGTTTAAATTCTGGGTGCTCAGCTCTTACACCCCATGGAGATTATGTAATAGAGTTCACAACATAACAACATATTAAATACGTACACATATAGCAGATAAATACATGCATTCACAGATGCGGCAAACTAAGAACAGAGGCAGACGAGCATACTAGCTCACTACAGCACTGGCAGTTGCCTTAACCAAAGGGAGAAAGACCAAGCTGAAACATGGTGGGGGCAGCGGAAAGAAGGCAATGATGGTAATTAGCATACAAAGCATGAGCTGCCCAATCTGTCATCTTTTATCCTCAGGAGATTTCTATGTCTCTTGAAATGCTGCCTAGCACACACACAAGGTATGAATCATTAGATCATACTCTCCTGGCTGTTCCTTTGATAAAGACTTATTTATCCCCTGGCCTTAAAATCAAAGCTAATCAATTACAGTTTCTTTTGTCGTTACTTTAGAGAAAGTAAAAATTTAAAAAATGAAGCATTTAAATGGCTTCTAAAGTCAGGGCATAAGTAATGAAATTTATGGGGGAAAAAAGAATCTATTAGGTAGCAGGTGCTTAGAAATTGTTGATTTCATAGAAAAGACATGTTAATGAGTGAGGAAAACTGGACTTACTTATCCAGCTCTTTGCTTCTCTTTGCTTGCGTACAAGTTAGAAAAAGAATACCTGGTTGACTGCACGGCAAATTACTTAACATTGTTGGATGGCATACTTCGTAAAAATGAAAGACTTGTAGGCTGAAAGAATATAGAAAATCTTCACACAGACTTTACCAGTGGCTGGCTATGCCTCTACCATGCTGGAAGGGCAGCCTCCAGCATGACCAATATGATCAATGTTTTGGGCTTCCTCCAACTTCCTGACAAGATCAGTGTTATGTTGGCAGTCTACTGACACCCACTTAGTGGCACAGTGCGCATATGTCTATGGTCTCTGAAGTAAGCATGCTCCGTGCAAAAAGTCTGCCTTGAAGAGCAAAACTCTGCGTCACCACACACACCAAAAGTGTCAAATAATACAAAATATCAGAACTGTAGCATGGTTAATCATTAGCAGACATGCTGAGGCACTCTTCTTAATTTTCTCCCTCAGGGAGATAATGGGCATTCCATGTAATTTTGCACAGAGCCCTTTCTCTTGATAATAAGAGTGCCATTAAGGAGCTTGTATGCATCTTTTTTCATAAGCTGATTTCAAAACCCATCACAAAAGCAGTCAACACCATTTGCTCTGTCTCTTGGATAACGAAGCATAGAAACTTGAAGTTTCCCATAAGGCTAGTCTTGGAATTTGAAATAGAAATCATGCCTCCTGTGTCCAATTCAGTTGGCCAAAGACTCTGCCATAATGCTGAGAGGAATTATACAATTTACCAGATACAAGCTCAAACTCTGACAAGCACCTATTAGACCTGCTTGTTAAGAAGTCAGAAGAGTAGACTGCTGTGGGAAGTAATTTCAATAGGTTATTTAAGCACAATTTTTCTCAAAGGCAACCTGCAACAAAACAAGTGTGAATTTTGTCTTTGAAACTGTGTATTTTTTATAATTGTCTCATATCAAAAAGTCTACTTTTGTTTGCCTTGAAAGCCTCTTTAACTTTGTATGTATCATACTGGGGCAAAAACAGCCCTCAGTAAAAGACTACCATTAATTGACATGAATTATAGTATAGTGTTGTTGTGAGACTTGTTGCAGGCTGAACTCCCAAACTCACTTTTATCATCATTTTAATCAAACCTGGTTTTAATGAACAAGGTAGCAAAAAAGGTCAAGCTAGAAGAGGCGTTGGAACCACTGGGAATTGTCTTCCATAATGTCCTTTACCTAGCCCAGGTCACCAAGAGAGGTAAAAATGGAAACTTGTGTGATTTTTACAAGTCAACAATTAATCCACCTGTGTAAGATCGACTGTGACTTTAGACATGACAAAGTGTATCTCAGTGTAATGACTCATCAATAATGAGAATGAGGTGATCTTCATCAAATTTCTCTCTCTAGCCCTTTAGCAAAAGCACTAACAGTTGAAAATAAATGTTCCCTATGACAAAATCCTTTCCAACTTCAATACCTTTAGTTTTACAGCTTTTCTAAGACATAAAAGAGCAAACCAAGCTCTCAGTAGGCCAGGCTGTATACAGATTATTTACTATGAAAGGAGGGTCATGTCCTACATACCAGTGTATATTACGCAGAGATAAGGCTGGCTGACTGCCTGCTCTTCAAACCAACTGGGAGCTTATAGGGTGTTACCATAGGGTGAGGCTTCAAGAACCTGGTTTACAAAGGGTCTGAAAAGGTATGATTACAATCTCTTTGATTTCAGTAAACTAGGGTAGTTCTCTAAATGCGCATCATAGGGTTTCTGAGGGATAGACCTACATTACAACATCAACTACTTACTTAGTACCTATGCCAAAATATTTTGGATTTTGTTCCCTTATTTTCAGGAAAAAAAATTGTTTTTCATATTAGAAAAAACAAGCAGATTTCTAGGCAAGTTTCTCATAGATGATATACCTGTAACATTCACATGTGAGGAAAATAACCCCCAAAATTATATATTATTTTAGATTATGTTATCTTTGACTGCTTGGTAGAAGCATTTTATCCAGGCAACTATAACAATCTGTTCTATTTTTTCTTAGGTATCAGTTTAACTTAGAAGCAGTATTTTGCCTTTGTGACCTATAGGAAGGGGGAAATTTCTATTGTAGCTCTGTTTAAAAAAAAACCAACAAAAATTAAAGGATAAACAAATAGTACAAGTTGAGGCCCAAAGAAGGGCTTAGATGTGAAATGCACTTAAAAATAGAATGGTTTTGTATAAAAAACTTAACACCACTGTTAGGTTATGAGGACGACACGAGTGGCAATAACAACTCCCCACATTCCTTTTAAGTTGTTTTGCACTACTCAGACCTCTTTGCAAAGAAAGTTTGCTGTGATGAGGTATGTATATAAATTATACTGCAGATGCTTTTAGCAAGACCAATCCCTGCCAATGCAAGATTATAGCTTCACTCCATGTGCTAACCTGTTTTGCAAAAGGCTGTCCATTATCCTCTGCATAAATTTGGTCAGATAAATGGGCCGTGGCAGATAGTCATGGGATAGAATAAAACATCTGGGACATGGTGCTCATGTCATATGGGCTGTATCGTATTACTATTCCTCAAGACAAATTTACTTCATTCAAAGGTTTTTAGGACTTGATGCAAAGGTAAGGTGTTTTATTTCCTTATGAACTCAGTGTTACTCAATGTCATTCATTTTAACTGGTGGCTGAACTGAGCAATATCCCAAAGGTAAGCAAAACTGTGAAGAAGTAAGTCTATGCAATAAAAAGTAAATGCATCAGCAATTGTACTGTATTAATATTATACTAAATTGATTCATTCAGAATCTAATCTGGAAAATTCTGTGAAATCACCCATCAATCACCAGCTAAATCTGAGGATGAAAGACAAATTAAAGATTTTACTATGCCCTAGGCATACTTTTACTCTTTTTAATTTAATACCACTGTTAAGTGAATCATCTGATTTGCATTTAATGACTTACAGTCAGATAAAAACTGTCCAGCCTCTGTCTTTCTTTTGCCTCTCCCAAACTTCGTAGCCCAAAACATTCAAATATGTCTGCCTGGAACAAGGAAGGCTTCTTCATGCCTCCAGGAAAAGGCATTTAAAGTGCATTCAGGACTGAAGCATTAGTTGCCTGTATAGGGCATTCTGCTTGTTGTCAGTACATAATTACTTTAAAAAGAGAGTTAGATTTCAAGGGGTTTTTATGGTTTATGTTGGGCTTTTGTTTTTTTGTTTGGTTTTGTTTTACAAATTAGCCACAATTTGGAGTAACCTCATTCTTCACAGTGTCTCTGGCAGAGCCCTACTGAAGTCCCAAGGGCAACGGCAATGGGGCATCTTCAGCATGACAGAAAGAAAAAGGGAAGTGAAAGCAGTGCTCAAAGTATTTGTACCATAAGACTTTATTTTTTAAGATTTTTTAAAATTATTTCCAGGGTGGATGTATTTATAACATTTGTGTTCATCTCCAATAGATAGTACTGCTTCTTTTTAAAACAAAATTCCAGGAAAATTTTTGTTCCATTTACTGACTCTGTGCTATAAAGAAAATGGCATTAGTTTTGCACATTAGTTAATAAGTGTTTATGTAAATTTTGATGAAGTTTAAGCAAAAACTTCCTAGTGCACAAAAAATAACCCCCAAATACTATATATGTGTTCCATATACCTACACATACACACACTAGATTATGTATCATCACGGCAAATACCTACACAAATCATTTATTTCAAGCCATAAAGGATAATTTTTTATAGAAAATTTTTTTTTATAAAAATATATTTGATAAGGTCCACAGGGGTATCTAGCAACACAGAAATGACAGATTTCTTATGGACATGTGTACCATGTTCTTATGGCATCAATTATGCTAAGCACTATGCTTAGAGAAGAAAAAGGTGCAACAGGCTTCTATTTGAAGAAAATGTTGCTCTGTTGCTCTGGTGATAAAAAAGGATCTTCTTGCCCAGATTAGA